TGGCAGATAAAAAGCAGATATACTGAACAGATAGTAGCTGTAACATGGAAATTATGTGTGTTTGTATTTGTATATATGTGTGGGTACGTGTGTGTGGGCAGATGAGAGAGGGATAGAACTAAGTTTTGAGTAGTACCAACTTGAGCAAGGCGCGTACCTGGCCGGGAGCTCTACGCAGTTACAACTGACCACGTTTTTAAACCCAGCAGACACTTTCACAAAGAGAAGATGAGGCACCTGCCGTGCACCCTTTTACTCATGTGGATAATCTCACTGACGTCAGTGGGTTTTTTCGCTCACACGTGAAGGTGTTTTTGGGCTAAGTCATGTCTGTTTTGGAGAGTCTCGTAATCGCTTATTCTAAAATCAGGACTTGGCATTTCGTTGTGGTGGTGAAGTTTGCAAGCCTATGTTATTACTTTCTTTCCAGTCCCAGGTGTGCAGAGTCATGAAGATGTAGAGAGTGATATTACTCAAGGTTTGATTTACAATATTTCCAAAGACAGTAATAAGGGCTCCTGTTTTTTCCATGCAGTAAATAAAGTGACTTGGTTATACTGGGAAGTGATGACAGCCATTGCAGACTATCGATGAGACAGACTAACCCTAGCAAAGCAACGTGTATGACTGATTTCTGCTCTCATGAAGGCCAGTCCGAACTGAAAATACTCCATGTGACACCCGTGACATTAATCCTGGTGAATGGAAATGAACTCAGAATGAACTGGATATGTTGTGTTTAAAGACAAGATACTGAAATAATCTGATGCACATTCTTGCGTCCTTTCCTGACTGATAGCCATGGAACATGCAAGCTCTATGTATAATTGTTTTCTGTGCATGCCACCTGATGCTATGGAGTGTCTATTCTTAACTCTTCTGGGAGAAATAGGGGAGTATGGTAGCTTTATTCTTCTCTTACAACTGCTTAGTTGAGGAATAAAAAACTTGCATGATTTTGTCGTAGGGGCAGACAGAAACATTTGCTAAAGGGGCAAGACCAGAAGTAGAAACCAAATCTCTGCTTTTGCAGCAAATGGAAAGTTAACGGTCTCAGTCCCTTTGCCTTCCAAGTCACGCGGAGCTGGGGGCAGGTGGGAGCATGCCGGCAGTGTTGTAATGCTTTAGATCTTGTAAAGATACAGCCTGTGGGTTCTGCGTGATGAGATTGGCTCATATGCTGCAGTCAATGTTTCTGGTTTGAAACTTCATTTACCACAGCAGAAACCACACTGGGAGGAGGGAAATTTAAAAAAAAAAAAAGGCAACATTACTATTTCAAAAATTTTTTAATGTGAAAGACAAATGCGTGAGTCTTGCTACTTTAAAATGTGCTTGAGTGAGGAATGTGTTTTTATGTGAGGATGGGCAAATGTTGAAAGGTACAGGCAAACAAAAACTATCCAGAAAACCAATGGATGTAATTTCCCTTGCCTGTGATGAGCTGGCTGCCTCCAGCTAGTTCAGTTCGGTGGCTGTGGCTCAGCCTGCTAAGTAGTACATGTTTTAATAACTTCTAAAGAAAAAAGGGTGTGAAGAGCGAACTGTTAGGGAGATTCTTAGCTGTCCTGTACCTGATCCAGCAGTACGCCTGCCAAATTATTACTGAGCAGTGCAAAGCCATGTTTATGAGATAGTATAAGAAGGCCTATCAGAATGGGGCTGGCAGTGACCTGAGGAGATCACCCAGTCCATCCCACTACCCTAAGCAGAACCAGGGCTATTTGTGTCATTGCTGGCAGATGTTTCTCTCATCTGCCCTTTGAAACACCCAGCATCCCTCCCAGGTCACCCATCCTCACGTGTTGCTCCTCTTCCCACAACGGATTGCTCCCAATGCCTCCTTTGTTGTTGCACCTGAACTCCATTCCTTTTCCTCCTTGTTCATGCTGGACACAGAGGATAGATTATCCTTCTCATGTGAAGACTCACAGTGTTCCCCACCCCTCCTCCCTGGAAAAGGTGCATCTCTGATAAGTGTGACTGCTGAGGAAGCAGAGATGAAGGCTGATGGATTTGGCTGCTGTCTCCACCGCAGGGAGAGAGATGCACCCAATCTGGTCCATCCTAACTAGAGAGATGAACCAACAGATGGAAGAGTTTATCTTCCTCTGCTCTTTGACTGCTGCAAAGTAGGTGCCTCACTCAGAGCCCAAGTTACCAGGCACAAATCTCCTCCTCAACTGCTGCTGTTTAACAGATAGAACTTTTTTAATCTTTCCTCTGGAGGTTCTTTGGACCATGCATTATAAATTGTATTCTCCTCCAAGCTCTGTTTTATTCTTAAATCTCTCTTTGTTGGGCTTCTTAGTTTTTCCTCATTGTTTTTGAATGAGAAGCCTTTTATGGCTTTGATTCCCAGCAATCTAAGAAAATACCTACACTGTATTTCCTCCTACTTGGGAATTGAAGCAGAAAGTTTGTTTGTGCCTCAGTCCCTCTCGTTCTATGTGGATTGCCTGGTTGCCTTTCTCAGGGCTTCGGCAGGATTGCGAGACTTGTGATTTTTATTTTTTTTTAATCCCTTATTCCCAGTTGTTGATTATGCAGTTGATGGGTTTCCTGAAGTCTCATGCACTTTAGTGCCAGGATGTGGTACAAAGAATGAAACTTGATGCATGGATGATTTCTCATAGTCCACATAATACTGGTTTTGATTTGTTCTTGTTAGTAGCATGCACTTTAGGGGTTTAGGAGCTTCCCTGTTTTACTGAACAGATGTTACAAATTTTAAGCTATTTTCTTTCCTCTCTTGGGCAGCTTCATCTCTAAATTTGGATTAGTTTCACCTAAAGCAGTTGCTGAGGACTTTTATTTGGGGGGAAAATCAAAACCTTTTATTTTCTGCATTCTGCATCTCCCACTTGGAAGCAAATGTTAGAGTAAGCAGATTCCTGGAGGTCTCTCTCTGCTGCTTTCACATCCCTTGTTATCCTGAAACTTTCTTAATTCATTGTAACTGGGTCTATCATTTGAGCTCTTGCAAGATGACTGTCACTGGGCATTTTTGTGTTCGAGGAAATGGGATTTTCTACATACTTTTCATAAATAAATAAGCTTGCCCTAGGGACTATACCTGGCAAAACTTGTTCTCCAACTAGAAAAAATTTGAAAGCCACTGAACACTAGCTAACTGCCAGAGATAAAAGAGAGCAGTGTTAGAAATACCCACCGTAACAGCATTATCATCTGAAGATACAGATGCAGGCGTATACTGGAGTTTGTTCTGCGCATTAACATACAGCTAGATGCTTGGAAAACCCAGGGTTTCCACTGAGACAGCTTACAGTGATTGCTCTCTAGAGAATTGCAAGGAGATTGTTTTAATAAATATATCGAAGAGAAAAGCTTTTACTGTTTGGCTCAAGGACAGCTAGAAGTCAGCCAGTTAATCAGGAAAATGGTGACTTACTTAAAGAAATGTCCCTTTGTCCCTGCCTATGGCAGGGGGGTTGGAACTAGATGATCTTTAAGGTCCCTTCCAACCCAAACCATTCTATAATTCTATGATATTTACATATACAGGAGGATGAACACTCTAGTAATAGTGAAATATTGAGGACTTTTACAAGAGCCTGTAGTGATAGCACAAGGGGTAATGGGTACAAATTGAAATCAGGGAGGTTTAGATTAGATATCAGGAAGAAATTCTTCAGAGAGGTTGGTGATGCACCGGAACAGGTTGCCCAGAGCAGCTGTGGATGCCCCATCCCTGGAAGTGTTCAAGGCCCAGCTGGATGAGGCTTTGAGCAACCTGGTCTAGTGGAAGGGGTCCCTGCCCATGGCAGGGGGGTTGGAACTAGATGATCTTTAAGGTCCCTTCCAACCCAAACCATTCTATGATTCTATGATAATATGAAATATACTACAAGAAAACCTTAAGGTCTGCTTAAGGAAGCAACAAAGAGCTATTAATTCAGACAGGTTCCTACTGTTTGTGTTAATATGCTTTATTTCCCCCTTTCTTTGTCTCTCTGATCTTAAGACCTAGAATTGCATCCCTGGAGGAAGAGCTTAAAGGGTTTTGAAAAGTCCTGAAGAACCACAGATTTGCCTTTTCTCTTCCCCCTTATGCTCTCATGGCCACTCACAATGAGAAGCCCCTTCCCAGCAGCTGCAGCTTCAGGGCTGGTTTTGGGGTTGCTCCCACGTGCGCAGCTCTCATGGCAGGAGGCGCTGGGGATTGAGTCACAACTTGGAGCTTGGGATTCTGCCCCTGGGCCCACGGGCATCCGTTTTGCAAGCCGTTTAGCAATGTGAGCATCTCCATGAAATGTGTTAGACACGGCGTGTGTATTAGGAAGACATGAATCTGGGTTTGCAAGATTCCCAGAGTTGCTTGTTTATTAATTTCTAAGCCAGTGCAATGAACAGCAATTTAGATGGGTGACCTACAGTAGTGTTGGCTTCTGACTTTCTGGAGAATCAGTATGGGTGACCAGATAACGCTGGGGCTATGGAAATTATCCAGTCTGATTCTCCAGTGTGCAGCTACGCTTCTGTCTGTAAAGCTGTGCTTGCACTAGACCCCACGTGTCTTTTTAAAAATACCTGGTTTAATTTTTTAAAGTCTGCTCAGCTACAGCAAAAATTCTACTGAAGCATCAAGGATATTTTTGCAATTTCCAGTGTTCAATTGTTCTGATATTCAAACACCTTTACAATTTTAAAAATGCATGTCTCTTCTAGGCCAAATTTTTTTTTAGCTTCCAGTCCTTGCATATTTCCATGTTAGTGTCTGTCATAAATGGCAAAGCCATTTTTGCTAGGAAAAAAACTCATTCATACAGATGGAATTTGGGACTGCACTAACTAGGGACACTTTTGAAAAATATGAATTTCCATGGCCAACGACCTTGTGCTTTTAGTGATAAGAAAGTATGTAGAATTTTATGGCTTACTTAAAAATAAGTATCTTTTCTGGTTAACTTGGAACCATATGTACTTGCAGATTCTTAGTGTGTGCTTTTCCTTTCTTATTTTCTTTCTCAGGAGAGTTGTACTGTTCTTTGCCCAACCCTAGGAATGTCCATTTTGAATCTGTAAACATGAAGAACGTCCTTCGCTGGTCAGCACCGGAAGGCACGGGAGATGGAGTACTCTACAAGGTGAAGTACTCAGTGTAAGTTGACTTCTTTATTTTATCCTCCACTGACTTTTATTTTAACATTTTAAGTAATAATTAAAAAAAAACCTTTGTATATATATAGGTAGGGCTGCTAAAAAGTAAAGAAAGGAGAAGTAAAATGTGGGCTAGACTTAAGCAATATAGTTTTTAACTTCTACTTCTGGTACTGCTTACTTCAGATCTAGTTTAAAAAAAAAAAAAAAAACAAACAAACTAAAAGGAGACTCTGTTCCTATTAAAGAAGTGTAGGATGCAACATGGAAGCTTTCAAGGGCATCCCTGAGAAATAAGACAGAAGGACAAAGAAGGACTGTGCTGTGGATTGGCATCCATACCTATTAGCCTTCTGTACACATTTAAATGGATCCGGAGATGTCGTATTTAATGGAATATTAACAGAAGCCAGTGTTTTGTTGGTCCTTTCTAACAGACCCAACACCCATGGATTTTTTTTTTTCTGATCCCGCAGGACTCTCTAGGAGAAAATCCACTGAAGTTATCCAGTGTTGTAAAAACTAAGTCATGTGATTGGAGTCAGGTCCTTATACATCTTTGTAGGATATCAGGGAGTTTGAGTGAGAACCACAATCCATTTCCTTTATTCCCACTGAGAGAGCACCGAGTCATTCTGCCAGGACAGGGTTGGAAGTTTAGCATATAAATAGGCGCAGCACTGTAGTCACGGATGATGTAATGCTCCCAGTGTTTACCTCTAATATGAACACTTCCCTCGGTCTAGTAATTTTTTCATGACACTAAACCAAATCTAGTTCCCCAGAAGTTTTCTGTTGCTTGCACTGGCTACTAAAAAAGTGCAAGGAGTTGCTTCTACAGTCAGAGACTGCAACCTCATTTGCCCAGATCTTGCTCGCTGTGCTAACAAAGGAACCACATGGTCCACCTCCTAGAAGAGGGGAGAGTGCTCAGTAATTACGGAATCAATGATACTTGTGTAGAAAGCGAAACACTCAGCAAGCCCTAGCTACGCTGATTCTGCAGGGTCAGCTGGTCCACGGAAGAGTCTGTAGCCATAGGTTTGGTCATCCCTCATCAAGAAGACAAAAATATTGATATATGCTTTTACCTGCTTAGCCAGGCCTTGAGCTAGGTGGAAAATGCTGGTGAGTGATACTGTCCTGCAGTCACGTAGAAGCTGCCACGTGCCCTTACTGATTAGCAGCCAAGGGGGAATTCTTTTCGTCATAATGTAAATTTGAGGAGCAGGAACTCCTGGGCAAATCCAGGCAGGAATTTTCCAAGGAAACCTTGATTTCTTCTACTAGTGTATAAGAGTTGGTCAGTACTGAGGCATTGGTGGTGGTATGCATATGCCCCTTTTTCAACTAGAAGGGTTTGGAGTTCTTTGTATTCCAGTGGAGTCTTTCTTTTAAACAAGAAAAAGAAGTCACAGTGATGAGTAGTGTCCTGTCCACTCATCTTGGGGAACCTGAGCATCATCTGTCTCCATACACCAAGATGAGCCACTGACCGTTCTGACAGAGCTCTTTGTCTCTATATAAACAGTTACCCTGATGCTGTTATCCTGTGTTTAGAGTTTAAACTAAAGCTGTGGAGACAGAAGTTGAGAGATCTGTGGTCTGCCTAAACAAAACTGGGCTTAGATTGGTATCAGTAACATCCCAGTTAGTTCCATATGGCCTCTTCTGGATAGGGCCTCCTCTGATTTATTCTTTATTAAGAAGTTGTGGGAATCTTATGTTTTATCTCAGCCGAAGTTGGGAATTTCTTGTCATTGCAGATTTCTGCAAAACAAGCAAACTGTTTTATCAGCCATAATACCAGTTTCTGTGCTATCAAGTGACTAATATCATGGCAATAGCTTTTGTACAGCTCCTTTCTCTTTCTTTTTCAATATAGATACGGTGTTGGCAAATGGATTAGAAAGCCAGAATGCAGAAATATCAACAGAACATGGTGTGACCTCTCCGGTGAGACCTCTGACTATGAAGAACAATACTATGCGAGTGTTAAAGCTTTCCTAAATGGCATGTGCTCTGACTGGATGGAGACCACAAGATTCAACCCACTTACAGACAGTAAGGAAAGCTAATTACACAGCCAGCTGATCAGTGGTCTTGATGAATATTGTGTGCTCAGACCTCATGTGCCTTCATAGCATATAATATTTTATTTTTAACATAAGGTTAGATTTTTTCCAGTTGTTTCACATTTATGCTTTTGGTAGAAGTTATTGAAATAATCCTATTAGAATTTGCATACATCTGTGTTATATATATGGTCTTTTATATACCAAATTCTCTCTATGCTCTATGCTTAAGGCAAATAAAAACTGTGGCACATCCACAGTATAAAGAACTCTGATTTTGAAAAGGCTGTTAAACAAAGCAGTAATGAAACTCTAGAGTACAAAATCTCTTATCTGTGCCAGATAATCTGAGAACATACTGGCAATTTAGCTTGTTTCAGTAAATTGAATTTCAAGGTTGTTTATCCTGCAAAGTCACAGGAA